CATGGCTTTCAAACGTCTGGAAATGGTTGCCTGGGACACATTAAGTTGTTCTGCGAGCTGTGTTTGTGTCTGACCATCGTCTTCATCCAGCAAAGCCTGCAATTCGACGTCCTCAAACGATTTCGCTGGTTTGCCGCGGTCCACGTTTCTCACATCGAAATTACCACTTTTAAACTTGTTGAACCACTCATTACACTGCGTCCGACCAAGAGCGTGCTCTCCGTAAGCTTCGACAAGCATTTGATGAGATTCTATCGCCGATTTACCCAAATGAAAGCAGAAAATTAATGCTCTCCGCAAATCGTTGTTTGAAGGAACGTATTTCGACATTTTCAAGAGCGAAAAAAAACACGATGTTGCATGAAACTTGAAATGTTTGGTACTGAATATTGTTCACAGATGACAATACGCCAAGTAGCGCCAATGGTAAGTTTCGATAGTTCCTACAACTGTGCCTACTGACCGCTAGATGGCATTACCGGTTTCATATGTATAGACCTGGTATATATGTATGCTTTTATAACATATATATGTATGCTTTTCTTTATATATGTACACGTAGCTAAAAATGAGTGTCACGTTGTGATAATCTGACAGTTCAATGAAAAAAGAGAAGTTATTGTTATTAGTACAATTGTTTATTAGTTGTGAGTGAAACAGTGATGGGAAAAACGGCCAAAATAGCATATAAGAAATATCCGTCCGCTTGGAGAGCCTCCAAAAAAAAAGGCTGGATGAAACGGTGAGTAAAACAAATTTTTTTGTATCATGATGTGATGGTGTGTGGTTATTTAAATGGAGAAATAAAAAATAAACTTTTGGGATTTAATAGATCTGAAAGAAGTTTGGATGTGAGTTTAAATCGTCACAATAAAAAAATGAATGTAAATTGTTACATTAATTATTACAATAATGTTCTTCAATATGAAAATNATAAAACGTTTNGATAACGCGTAAGTAAAGATTAGGTTTTTGATAGTAAATGAATTACACTCAGATACTAATTTAATATTAACTTCTCCATAAAATTTTACGACACTGTTTAATAACAATGATATACTTAATATAGAGTATATGCATAATGTTAATATAATATATATGTTATAGAATAAAAAATCTTACAAACCAGACACCAACACATCAGTAATTTTTTATATTGTGTTCACATATTTCCTT